TTACATAACCAACCAATGTGAGGATAGATATAAAAATAGATGACAAGGATTAATATAGATAGAAGGAAAAAATTGAATTTGATTAGGATTAAGATTAGAGATGAGAATGAAGGGTATTATTGGTTTTTTTTTAAAAAAATAGATAAGGAATACCTATCACAAAAAGGAAATACAGAAATTGTAAATTTAATTGAAATGACTAAATATTGTTTAAATTTGTGAACTGGCCAAATACTCTGTTCAAAGAAAATGCATTGTATGTTTGTATATGTGTTTGTCTAAAAAATTTTTTTTAAAAAAAATATATAAAAAATAAATAAATAAAGTGGAAGTTAAGTTATATTTGGAAAACATTCTGAATAAAGATGGCCATAACAAAGAAATCAAGTAGATGACAGAGCAGTTTGTTTCTGAAATCATTCCATTGGCAGGAATTAATTAGATATGCTTTGAAAATACCAACTTGGACTACATTGAAAGGGGAGGCGATGTTTTTCTGGTATAATGCCTGTGTTCCAGACTACAAACATTGTCCCAAAGGATCATTACTGGTGCTTAAAATGCATATAACAGGGGTGTGGAAATACTTTTTCATTTAAACCTTAGGAGTTTGTTTGTTTGTTTGTTTGTTTGTTTGTTTGTTTGTTTGAAATTTTAGGGAATGGATAAAAGACAGGATGACTGATAGAGTGCAAATATTGACCATTTGAAGAAAGATCAAAGGAAATGGAACATTTGGCTTGATTAAACAAATATGGAAAGCTAGTTAGACTTTATGGTTAGGCATCAGATTAAAATCCAGGAAACTTTAAGTTCTAATTCTTCTTTAGTCATGAAACCAGCACAATTTCTTTATTATATCTGATGACTCACTTTGCTATGATTATTGTAAAGAATCAATAACAAAGATATGACAGTCATATTAACCCATAGAGATTAATATAGGGCATGAAACCAAAAGAATTACTGTATTAGAAAAGCCACTTTTGTATAATTTCTAAGACATAAGAGTAAAAACTAGGATAATGTGAGAGCTAGTCTTCCCCTAGGCATGAAACCAACTGGTTGACCTTGGACTACTCTCTCTTATTCTCTCTGTCACTCTCTTTCATTCCTAGAAGGAGGCAATGACTTATTTATACTGACTCAAAGGTACAAAAAAGAAAAGAAAAAAAAAACAAGCAAGGGCATATATTATCAAATTACAACAGTTCTCGTGCTGCCACTTCTCTGGCAGAACCCCCAGACCAGCTGGCGGGGCAGAGAGGGCAGAGGCAGGCTGTGGCCGTTCTCTCCAGCTAAGAGAAAGGCTTCCCACAAGTAAAAAAAAAAGGCTTCCCACAAGTAAAAAAAAAAAGTTGGCCACGCCCACCCAGTCACATTACCCCCACAAGCCACACCCACAAAATAAGCCACACCCACAGAACCAGTAGTAAAAAAATTTAGAACCCACCCCTGGTCAGCTACTGCAAAAAGAAAAAAAAGCAGCTTTGTTAGCTGATGACACACAATGTAAAAGCACACAAAAAACCTCAAAAAGACCAAAAAACCAACTTTCACACAACACAACACAACACAACACAACTGGCTCACCCACAATGTAAAAGCAGATGTGCTAGACCCAAAATGGCCCCTTCAACAAGCAGGAACCTCACACAGCCACAAAAAGCCCAAACACCAACTTTCACACTTTACAAATACAAAATGCCACATACAGCTTTGTGAGGTTTTGTGTATTTGTGTAGTTAGAATGAAACACTACAGAAACACACAAAATCTCAGAAAGCTTCACAAATATTATTTTATTTTAATTTTAATTTTTTGATAAAAGCAGCTAAATTTAAAACTCCCTAAACTTTAAATGGCTAGGTCTAAAAAAAAAAAACAACTAAAAAAAAACCCAAATTAATTATTTTTTAAAGATCCCAAAGGGAAAAAAACCTTACCCAATTGAAGGGACAAGGCAGGCATGCAGGCAAGCAGATAGAGCTGCTCACCGATGAGTTTGATCTGTAGGCAGACAGATTCAGTTGCTTGCTGATGCAATGGATTGCAGGGATTGCAGAAAGCAAAGCAAGGCAGGCGTTGTGACCAGCAGTTTGGGATTTGGTCTGAAGAGCAAAGGTAAGCAAGCTGGAGGCTGTGGGGGGGGGTAGGTGAGTGATTAGTTTCTTAGTTTCAAGATTCTTTTAAATACAGTCACTTGTGTGTTCAAATACAGTTGAATAATTTTAAAATTATTTTTTACTGAATCATGTTTAAGTGAAAATGTATGCATTCCTAGAGGGTGCATGAGGACTCATGGTTAAGACACTGAGCTTGTCAATCCAAGTTTGCAATCACAGTGCCATGCACTGGAGTGAACTCTCATTACTTGCCCCAGTTCCTACCTGCCTAGTACTTTGAAAGCATGCAAATGCAAGTAGATAAATAGGTAACACTTTGGTGAAAAGACAACCGTGTTCTGTGCACTTTGATGTAGTCATGATCATGGTCATGATCATGGAAGTATCTTCAGACAATGCTGGCTGCCTTGGCTGAGAAACAGAGATGAGCACTATGCCCTAGAATGGACATGATTGGACAGGGAAAAACTTTACCATTATCTTTACATTCATTCCTATTTTGCAGTAATATAGCACTCAGAGAAATATGGTCCTCAGCAAAATAGAATGTCAAATGTATAGCATGGAAGTATTCTACATGTAGCAAAACCAAATAAAACAGTGTATTATTGGCATTAAAAATTGCTGCAAATCACTAGCATCAATTAATTTTCATTTTAACAGCAACCCTATTATTTTTAAAGTGATTATTTTTGATTATGAAAATGTGTTTTAAAATCAGTCAAATGTATTCCTACATACATATTATTTAATCACTTGTTAACTTTGTTGATAACCAGTATTCTGAAATGGAGTTGTCCTATAAAGTAGTAAAAAGTGGAAACTATAAAGGATTCAAATTTTCAAATTTAATATAGATTTCTAAATTGATTGAAAATCCAAAACTGAATTAATGTTTTGGGACCAAGTTGCCAACTTTTTGGCTGTTAAATATGGAGAGATACAAAGACAGAGATTTTATCAAACAGAATAAATTATGCAACCTGCAACAATGTAATTTGACAATCAGAACTGTGTGATTCATAATCAACAAAGATAAAATATTAATTTTGAAAGAACTATTGTTCATTAAATTTCATTTGATCTCACTAGTAAATCTTACTTTCTTTGTTCAAACAATAAAATGATATAGCAATGTTTTCTAAAGCCAAGTTTGACTACCCTGTTTTCCCCAAAATAAGACATCCCCTCATAATAAGCCCAATCAGGCTTTTGAGCACATGGAAATAAGGCCAAGCACTTATTTTGGGGTTCAAAAAAATATAAGACAGGGTCTCCCTCCCTCTTTAAATGTGCCTGTATTTGTCACCTAATAAGATATAGTAGTTAAAGGGCCAGACTACTAGCATAATTACTCAGGGTCTTGTACTTTCCTAGACACAAAAGCCAAGGAGAAGGAGAAGTATTTCTACACAATATTTCACTCTAGTGATATCTTTTCTTTTTTAGTACAATGAAAAAAAATGACTTCATTAACCATTCTAAACTTATTCACTTCAGCTGACATAATAAAGAAGTTTTAAACTGCATCTTCATGTATTTAATCCATATTAATAATTGATAAACAAAGCATCTAAATTTACTCTCCAGAGAGTTTATTAAAAATATAGAAGCACTGACACTTTCCCAAAGAGAATTCTTTCCACTCTCAAAATTTTCAATCATTATGTGGAGACAGATATCCACTTAGGATTTCTCAGAGGCAGTTTGAATTAATTGGAAAAATAGATAAGATCTTCTGGGATTTAGTGTATAAAAGTGTTAACATTTCAGAGTAATGTTATTTATGCTGTAAACTAGCACAACTTAATTAATGTCTTTTTAACAAACAGTATTCTTTGTAATAAAAAGAAGTTTTGTCAGTTAAAGTAGTGCAGAATTTGAAATGGCTGTTGTGCAAAGGACAAAATTTCAACAAAATTATGTGCCTTTACTCAATTACACAATAATACATAACTTGTATCTTTGAGCTTAATAAAATGGCTGTATTCTTAATCTTCAATCAGTTTTGGTAGTTGAAATGAATTATTGCTTTCATTTGTGCTTAGGAAAAAATTGTGAGAAATATACCTAGGACTAAATAAGTACCCATGGACCAAATTCTGTACTTGCAAGTTTGAGTTTTCACTATTACATTCTATATATTTCCTCCCACCACCACCAATGCTTAGATTTAATTAAATATGATTATTCTAAGTAGGCTCACCAAATGTTGGCTGCAAAAATCTGAATGACTACCACTAGATGGGAACAAAGACATAGAGAAAATATAGCTCCATTTATTTTTTTATTTTTTTGCAACTTACATCTGGTACTCCTAATATTAATACCAAACACAAAAGAAATGAAATGATTAACAAAAGCGATGGTCCATGATTATCATACATATTATCCCAGGAAAAGGTTCTATACAATTAATATGTATTAATCCAATTAATATCTACTGATTGAAAGTATTGTCATTGCCATGAAAGATGTACTGCTTTCCCTTTTTTGTTTTCTTATTTGTTGTTTCTACACCTGCTCCCTTGACAAGTTAAGCTTTATATATATCTTGTCCTCAAGCGCTGGCACTCACAGCAAATTGTGATGTCAAAATGACATCAGGTGCACAATTATATTATTATACATATCTCATTATGTCCCCATAGTATTAATGTGTAATACTGCCAAATCTGTGCCCTCCTATGGATGTACATAATATTAATAATATTAACAGTAATTTGTGACCTTGGTTTGTGCTGCATTTAGCTATTATTTCCATCTTTTTCCTTTTTTAAATCTTCCTCAGCTAATACAGAGGCATCTTCAATAGCTTATTTTTATGGCTATCAGATACAGAGTAAGAGTAGCGAATTGCTTCAAATCTGGTGCTCATAACCAGATGCTAGGAAGGGCAAATCCTGCATTATCTTTAACCACCTTCAGATGGCCACAATCATGAATACTATCCCTCTAAAAGAAAATTATCACCTTAAAAAAACAAACAAACAAATACAGACATTTCCTCCCGCAAAATGTACCAGAAATGATATTTGAAAGAAGGAAAGAAGGCACTAGGAGTTGTGGGAAAGGGTCAATGAAATATATTAGGGCATTCCAATTTGTAACTTCTTCCCTAGGATGTTGGGAAACTTAAGTATATAGTCATTCATGTGTTGCTTTGTGTATCTACTGTGTATTATATAAGCATGCATATGTATGTTTCTCTCTTGTGATCAAATTTGATAACACAGTACATTCTCAAGGTTCAAAAGGTTAGAAATTTTATCATATCTGGAAGAAGGATATAGCAATACCACTTATATACATACTGTCCCATAGTGCTTTTACAGTAGTCTCTGGGCATTTTACGATATCAGCAGATTGCCCCCCAACAATCTGAGTCCTCATTTTATCAACTTTGGAAGAATGGAAGGCCAAATCAATCTTGAGCCCTGTCTGAATCAAATTTCAGGCGGTAGGCAGAGTTTTCTGCAATACTGCATTCTAACCATTGTGCCACCAGGGCTTATGGAGATGAAATACCTTTCAACTATTTTTGTTTGTTTCGTGGGGAAGGACTCATTCAAAGTAACTTTAGAGGAATTCTCATCTGCTTGTTTGATAGAGAAATATTTATTTGCTGGAATTCCATTTATTTTCTTCTAAAAAAACCCTCATTATCTCTAAATGTTTCACTACATTCACCTTTCCTACTGTAATTATCTGAGCCATTAGATGAAGGTGAAGCAATACCTGAAGGAAAAAGACAATTCCCTGTACATCTCCACCCCGGACCACCCCAACGATGCCCTTGAAGTGATGTCCCGGTGCCTGGAGGCTGTATGGATCTAGACGGGGAGAAACAGGCTCAGGCTCAACTCATCCAAGACCGAGTGGCTGTGGTTTCTGATGTCCCGATATAGTCAGCTGGTGCCATTGCTGACTATTGGGGGCGAATCATTGGCCCCCATGGAAAGGGCTCGCAACTTGGGTGTCCTCCTGGATTCATGGCTGTCTTTAGAAGAGCACTTGACGGCCGTGACTGGGAAGATTTTTCATCAGGTTCGCTTGATCCGCCAATTGCATCCCTTTCTAGATTGGGACTCCCTACACACAGTCACTCATGCCCTCGTCACCTCTAGTCTGGACAATTGTAATGCTCTCTACATGGGGCTCCCCTTGAGGTGCACTCGGAGCTCCAACTGGCGCAGAGTGCGGCTGCGCAGGTGGTTATGGGAACAATGTGGAGATCCCATGTAACACCTCTCCTGCGCGAGCTGCACTGGCTCCCGGTTGTCTTCCGGGTGCGCTTCAAGGTTTTGGTTATCACCTTTAAAGCGCTCCATGGCTTAGGACCTGGTTATCTACGGGACCGCCTGCTACCACCAATAGCCTCCCACTGGCCAGTACGTTCCCATAGAGAGGGACTCCTCCGGGTGCCATCGGCCAAACAATGTCAACTGGCGGCCCCTAGGGGGAGAGCCTTCTCTGTGGTGGCACCTACGATCTGGAACAAGCTCCCCCCGGAGATACGGAGGATCCCGGATCTGCGCACCTTCCGTCGCACGCGCAAGACTTTCTTGTTTCATCAAGTTGGCCTGGCCTAAATTTTCTCTCCTTTTAAATGTAAATTTTAATTTGTTGTTAAATTATTGGGTATTTTAAATTTGTCTCAGCCAAATTATTTAATTCGTTTTTATTCAATTTTAAATTTTTGTATTTATGTGTTTTATTCTGTGGCTGTTCACCACCCTGAGTCCTTCAGGAGTAGGGCGGTATAGAAATCCAATAAAATAAATAAATAAATGAAAAAAGTGTATGCAAAATAATTCTTTATTGTATTAAAAATCCTGTTATGTTTTGAGAAAATACTTCCTCACTGAAAGACACAAAATATTGCATTTACAATATATTTTTGTATATTATAGTTGTAAATATACCTGGAAAATACCTAAAATATAATATATGTTAATATATATTAATATATGAAGAAACATTATGTATATATGACTAAAAAATAAAAGTACATAAAGTATTCAAAAGTTAGGAAAGTGAATACTTCATAAATGATTCCCAATATTCTAAGTCATAGAGGAACAAAGGTACACATAGTAGAGCATAAATCTTTGGAATGCTTGAAAATATTGAAAGAAAATTCTCATTAAAAAAAACCATCAGCAGGATTATTAAAAATTCAAACAATTCCTTTTATTTTATGTTATTTTATTTTTTAAATTATCAGGAAAAAAAAACCAAGGAAAATATAATTCTACACATAAGTGCATCTCTGAATTACTCATCTTTCTTCCAATTACTTGAACAATTTTTTTCTTTTGTTCTTTTATAACTTCTTTAGAATATAACTGATTCATAAAGTGAATAGTTTTCTATAAATATTTTTTCAAATACTTCTCTAAGAATAGCTTGAATTCATGTTTCTTCATCTTCTTAGCTCCCCCTTGTGGTTAAAGAATCATTTTTTAAAAAATAAATCAATTAATAGTTTCTAGCCAAACAGAGTTCATAAAAGTCATGAAGTTTCATAGCAGAAAAATCCAAAGCCATAGTCCATGGCTACAGATCATTAAAAATAGTAAAATAAAACCACAACTTTCTATCTTTGGGTTTCTCCATCAAAGTTTTAAAAAAAAGATTATTCACACTTCCTTATTTTAGCTTGCTTCCAGCAACTCTCTCCCTTATGGTTTAACAATAAAGATAACAGACTCTGACTAAATAGAGCTTCTTTCAGATAATAAAGACAATATCATAAAATATTGTAAATGGCTATTTACATATTGTCTGTTTGAAAAATAATGTCTGTTTTTTCAACAACAAAGTTTATATAGTAAAATTTAGAAGAAACAGGATTGCATATTTGGAGAATATACTGTGTAAGATTTAGAGTGTCTCACTCCTTAATAGCTTCATTATCTGAAATGAAAATGAGTATAAATTGCCTGAAAATGTATATTGTAAGCATTGATCTCTCAAAGTAAAGCACATAATATTTATTTATTTACTAAATAAAATAAAAAATATCTAATGAAAGAAATAAAAGCTTTCCACAAAAGTATTTGCCTGGTTGTCAAGGTAACCTGTTCCTTGCCTTCATTAATTTTCTTAAGGCATCCTTCACTTCCTTGTTTCTCAGACTATAGATCATAGGATTCAACATTGGGATGATAATGGAATACAGCAAGGCAACCATCTTGTCTATATTTTCTATGTGGTTGGATTTTGGATGTAGATACATTGCACTGGCAGAGCCATAAAATAAGGTGACCACAATGAGATGTGATGAGCAAGTGGAAACTGCTTTATTTTGACTTCTAACTGATGGCATATTTACTATAGTGAAAAAGATACGGATATAAGAAACCAACACCAGAAGAAAGGGGGACAGTGTGATTAGCACACTTAGGGCAAGGATGGATATCTCATTCCTTGTAGTATCAGTGCAAGCCAACCTCAGCAGTGGTGGAATATCACAGAAGAAGTGATCAATCTGGTTGGGGCCACAATAGGGCAAAGAAAATATCCAAACTACGTTGCCAAGTGGCATTACAATTCCACAGATCCAAGCAGCAATGGCCATTCGAGCACAAACATTTTGGTTCATAACCAGGACATAATGTAATGGGAAGCATATCGCCATACAGCGGTCATATGCCATGGCAGCCAACAGGTAGCATTCCACTGTTCCAAGAGAAAGAAGAAAATACATCTGGGTAGCACAACCTATGAAGGAGATAGTTTTTGATTCAGATATAATATTCACTAATATCTTAGGGAGAGTTACTGAAGTGTACAAAATTTCTAGAAAAGACAAGATTCTCAAAAAGAAGTACATGGGTGTTTGAAGGGCTAAATCAATAAAAGTTAGGGTTATAATCAATCCATTTCCCAAAAGTGTCAGTGTATACACAGTAAAGAACCCAGCAAACAGTAACACTTGCATTCCAGAATTATTGGTATATTCAAGGAAGATAAAACCGGGTCTCAGGGTTTGATTTATCAGACTGTAGCCCCCGATAAAAATCATCTGAGGGAGAAAATGAAAAAAAAAAAGACAAATGAAAATTCTCATTGTGGAGAAGTTCACGAGTTACTTCTTTATTTTTTTCCATTTCTTTTCGTTTTTGTTTCCTTTTATTTTGCACTTTGTATTTTTTCTATTTTTTTCTATTAGTTTGTATTAGTTTTTGTATTGTTAAATCAATAAATGTATTAAAAATGAAAATCATCTTGCATTCTAATCTAGTGATAAGTGTATACAATGTTTAGATTTGTAACTATTGTAAACATACATTCTGTTTGAATTGTCTTTTTTTCCAAATATTCAATGCATGATTGAAGGTAGTCCATAAATGTCTGTAATTAAAATGTAAAATAAATATCTATGGTTGTCCTCAAACAGTGCTTGTTTTAAGCTAACAATTGTTCAATGGAAATATATCTAAAGAATCACGATTCTTTATTTCTTCTTCTCTATAGTGGAGAAAAATCTTTCCTTCAATTTATATTTTTAAAAAAGAGCTTTCACTCCAAGTCAACAAAATACAATTTTAAAAAAGGTTTACCTCTAAAACAGTTATTAACTTTTATTCTGATTCACTGGCTGTAAATGCCTTTTCGTAAAGAGGTATATTCTTTGTCTTGTTGGTACAGAGTTGTTATGATGGTTGTATATTCCTTCTGGTGTAATAGAGAATAAGTTTCTGAGCAGAAAAACAGATGATACTGCTACATAATGGACTACTTGTTTAGTAGTTAGTAATGAGTTTGTGTTCTCATTAAAATTTATGGAAATCTACAGACTCTAACTTGTTATGAAAAATAATGAGCAAAATTGAAAATACACACAGTAGGTATTGCAATAGGGAATTAAGACTATTAAATGGACTACCTAAAATATAGTTTCTTGTGAAATCAAATGGCTTCAAAGATTGACAAGGAATTTTCTTTGGTTGAAAAGTGAAAGTTCCCAGTCTTCTATCGCCTACAATGAACTGATAGTGCTTTTAACTACTTATACTCTCACTTAAGATAATTTTTACAAATTATTTCTTTTGTTTTTGTTTCAGTTATTCTTTAAATAACTAGGCTCTATAGGCATATGTACATACACATGAAAGTATGCACATATAAGAATACAGTATAAGAGAAGAAGCCAGACTGATTGAATCATTATGTAGACAACTGTCTCATGTTTTCACAATGTTGAAAAAGACCATTTCAACCATTCATACTGGACCATCCTCAGCCTCTGGCTCTTAATCTTTGCATATTGGAATATGCTGTCCCTCTGTTTATCTTGTTTCAATGTCAAATTGCTCTTGATATTAGAATGGTCATTTGTAATCTTCAGTTGATGTTCCTTACCATACATTCATTAGTCCTCATCCTGTAATGATTGTCTTGGTCTTATAGTCATAAATCCTGTCTGGGATATCAGATATACAGAGGTTATCATATCATTTCATAGCTTTAAAGGTTAAATATCAGTTTACACCAATTAATCCATCTTTTCTTCATTGGATATGCAGTAATGGCATAAGACTCTCTCCACTGTCGTGGGAGGACAGTGGAGTCCAGTTTCCCACTTCTTTAAGTTTGCTGCCTTCCGTCCTCAGGACTTTTAGACTCTATGAAACCTGCCAGAGGTCATTATCACCTCTTCCGTTTGTGAATGTACTCGACCGCTGAACTTCTTGCACTGCGAGACTCCCCCTTCTTGCAGGCCTGGCCCTCCACATTATTGAGGGCGTACCTCGATGATGGGTTTTGGAATCCAGAGAGGTGGCATGCCGCAAAGAGGGGGTTGAGGGGCTTTTTATCTAAATTTTTAGTTAATCTTTTAAGGGGTTCCAGGAGCGGGGAGGGTTGGATTAGAAATCGGGTTGTGGGTATGGGGGAAAACCCACTAAGGGGAGAGTCGGGTCTGGCTATGAAGTGCGGTGTGGGAGGTGGGGGGGCCGGGGTCGAGGGGGGGTAAGAGCTTATCCAGATAATGTTTTTAACATCAATTCTGTGAGTGGGAAGGGCAGATATGGCGGGAGCAGGGGGCCATATCATGTTAGGGGAGCTTGCGCTCGCTGTCTATGAGCAGTAGCGTGCTCCAGCCCCCAAGGCTCCATCCGTTCCCCGGGTTGCTCAGTTCCTCAGGGCCCAGGCTTTTGGCTGATGCAGTGCAATGCCAGGTCTGTAGTAAATAAGCCCCCCCTCATCGGTGATCTCGTTCAGGAGGGGGAAGCAGACCTGGCAGGTATTACGGAGACCAGGTTGGGCCCAGACGGGGGGTCCCCCTTGTTGAAATGTGCCCACCAGGTTTCCATGCATTTCATCAGCCGAGGTCACAGGGGAGGGGAGGGGGGGTAGCAGTTATCATTAAAGAAGGTCTTAGACCGAGGGAGGCCACTGTCCCTCAGATGGCCGGCTGTAAGTCCCTCCTTGTGAAGTGGGGTCATGGGATTCAGATGGGTGTGCTGATCCCTGCCATGTGGCAGCAGCCCTGCCTGAGCTACTTAACGTCATTGCCGAGGTGGCAGTTGATACCCCTAGACTTATGATCATGGGGGATTTCAACCTGCCATCCGTGGGTGAGACGTCTGAGTTGGCTTGGGAGTTCATGGCTTCCATGACAGCTATGGACCTGACCCAGCTAATTCATGGTCTACCCACACGGGGAGAAACACGCTGGACTTGGTTTTTGTCTCTGGACAGTGGTTGAGTGATCTTGAGATAGGGGATATAGTCACCGAGCCCTTGTCATGGTCAGATCACTCTCTCCTTCACCTTGACTTTCGAACCGCTGCACCCTGCCACAGGGAGGTGGAGCCGGTAAGATGGTTCCGCCCCAGGTGCCTGATGGAACCTGATAGGTTCTAGATGGAGCTTGGGCCATTTCCTGAGGCTTTGGCACATGCCTCGACTGGAGAACTAGTGGCTGCTTGGGATAGGTCAGCCACTGGAGCTCTGGATCGGGTTGTGCCTTTGCAGCCTCTGACCTGGCGCCGATCTCACCTGGCTCCCTGGTTCACTGAAGAGCTGAGGGAGATGAAGCACCAGAAAAGATGCCTAGAGAGCAGTTGGAGGGCGAGCCTTTCCGAATCTGACCGGACACTGGTAAGATCTCATATTAGGAATTACCTAGTGGCGATAAAAGCAGAAAAATGTAATTATTTTGCTGCTCTTATTGCATCATCAGATAATCGCCCGGCCACCCAGTTTAGGGTGACCTGCTCCTTACTCCACCAGGGAGCGTGGGAGAACCCCTTGGAGGGTAGAGCCGAGGATTTTGTACAGTATCTGCATGACAAAATAACTCAGATTCGGGAAGATCTGGACTCTGACTGGGTAGGTTCAGGGGGGATGACTGGGGCAGGTCTTGAGAATGTTATCTGGGATGAGTTTGATCCTGTGACTCCTGATGATGTGGACAGGATTCTGGGTAGACTGGATGCGACCACATGTTTGTTGGACCCATGTCCCTCCTGGTTAGTGCTGGCTTCCCGGGAGGTGACGCGAGGCTGGCTCCAGGGGATTATAAATGCTTCATTGGGTGAGAGTGACTTCCCCGCCACCTTGAAAGAGGAGGTGGTGAGGCCCCTCCTCAAGAAGCCTTCCCTGGACCCAGCAGTGTTGTCAAATTATCGTCCAGTCTCCAACCTTCGCTTTGTGGTGAAGGTTGTTGAGAGTGTGGTTGCGCGACAGCTCCCCCAGCACCTGGATGAAATGGCATATATGGATCCATTCCAGTCGGGCTTCAGGCCTGGGTACAGCATGGAAACGGCATTGGTCACATTGGTGGATGATCTCTGGAGGGCTCGGGATAGGGGTTGCTCCTCTGTCCTGGTCCTATTAGATCTCTCAGCGGCTTTTGATACCATCGACCATGGTATCATGCTGCACCGGTTGGAAGAGTTGGGGGTGGGAGGCACCGTGTTGCCGTGGTTCTCCTCCTTTCTCTCTGATAGGTCGTAGTCTGTGTTGGCAGGGGGGCAGAGGTCGAACCCAAGGCGCCTCATATGTGGGGTGTCTCAAGGATCGGTCCTCTTGCCCCTTCTGTTCAACATTTATGTAAAGCCGCTGGGTGAGATCATCCGTGGTTTCAGGGTGAAGTACCATCAGTACGCTGATGATACTCAGCTGTACATTTCCATCCCAGACCACCCCAATGATGCCCTTGAAGTGATGTCCCAGTGCCTGGAGGCCGTGCGGATCTGGATGGGAAGGAACAGGCTCAGGTTCAACCCGTCCAAGACTGAGTGGCTGTGGTTTTTGACATCCCAATATAGTCAGTTGGCACCATCACTGACTATTGGGGGCGAATTGCTGGTCCCCATGGAGAGGGCTAGCAACTTGGGCATCTCCTGGATTCACGGCTGTCTTTAGAAGAGCACTTGACGGCCATGACCGGGAGGATCTTTCATCAGGTTCGCCTGATTCACCAGTTGCGTCCCTTTCTGGATTGGGACTCCCTACACACAGTCACTCATGCCGTCGTTACCTACCGCCTGGACTATTGTAACGCTCTCTACATGGGGCTCCCATTAAGGAGCACCCGGAGGCTCCAACTGGCGCAGAGTGCGGCCGCGCGGGTAGTTATGGGAGCAACATGGCACTCCCGTGTGAGACCTCTCCTGCGCGAGCTGCACTGGCTCCCGGTGGTCTTCCGGGTGCGCTTCAAGGTTTTGGTTACCACCTTTAGAGCGCTCCATGGCTTAGGACCTGGCTACTTATGGGATCGCCTACTACCACAAACAGCCTCCCACCGGCTGGTACGCCTTTATAGAGAGGGCTTCTCCGGGTGCCATCGGCCAAATAATGTCAGCTGGCAGCCCCCAGGTG